GCTGCAGTCTGTTGCTGTTCCAGTTGAAGGTGATGCAGCTCTTCAGTGGTTAGCTCTTCCCTGTGGTCCTCCACCAACTCTTCCACATCCTGGCCACTCACATCCAACCCCATGGACTTCCCCAGTGCCACAATAGATTCCGCAACAGGCGTAGGGTCCTCAGGGTCAGCCTCAAACATTCAAAATTCTTCTCTTGGACACATTCTGGCCACAATTTTCTCCAAGCAGAGTTCATCATCCTGGAAGTCACTTCCTGCCAAGCCTTTTCTATAAGCCTTATGCAACTGAGGATACTGAAGTGATTCCTAGAGAGCTCTCTTAGGCTCAATTCAGTGTCCGAGGTCACTTCAAAGCACCTTTGAAACACCACTTTTGTGTAGAGTATTTTGAAGTTTGAAACGACCTGCTGGTCCACGGGCTGGATGAGAGGAACGGTATGAGGGGGCAAGAACTTCACTGTGATGCAACTAAACTGCTTCAACAATTGGTCTTCCAAGTCTGGAGGATGAGCAGGAGCATTGTCCGTTACCAGGAGGCACTTGAGTGGCAACTGATTTTCCAGGAGGTATTTCTTCACACTCAATGAAAATTTGCCCTGTGACCCGTACCTTATTGTTAGCCGTCCACATCACACAATTTACTCTTGATGACACTTTTTCTTGAACACTCAGAGATTTTCAGTGATACACCAGTAAACGCTTAAATCTGAAATCCCCACTAGCATTACCATAGAACAAAAGTTTGCCTATCCTTCATAGGCTTGTGCCCTGGCAGTGCCTTTTCCTCCTGCGTGATGTAGATCCTCTTTAGCATTTTCTTCCAAAAGAGGCCTGTTTCGTCACAACTGAAGACTTGTTGGGGGAGGAATCCTTCAGCCTCTATATACTCCTTGAATTTATTAACGAATTCTTCAGCCGCACATTTGTCCAAACCTGCAGCCTTGCCATGCCTCAACACGTGTATGCCTGATCACTTCTTGAACTTGTCGAACCAGCCTCTGCTGGCCTTGAATTCACTAACAGTAGCACTCATTCCAGGCACTTTCTATACGAGAGCCGCATGCAACTGCCTGGCCTTCCCGCAAATTATCATTGATCTACACCAACAACAACTCAACATCTTCGATTGTTTGCGATCTCCGTTTCATTAGTGCATTTACCCCTTTTGCAATATCAGATTCCTTGACTTTTTTTTCTTCGCCAGGATGGAACTGATCATTGATGAAGACTTCCCGTACATCCTGGCGAGATCGGCCACACATATGCCACTTTCATACTTTGCTACGAGTTCTTGAATTCTATCATACAACTACAAGCTTTCAGAACCTCTTGCGGTTCTAGGAATGTGTCCGGTGACTCTATATGTGTATATATATGATAGAAAAATAATAATAAACAGCATTTTTATTGTCGGTTTGCGTAAACATGTTTTGTAAATAATATAATGACAGCAAAGTTTGTGCTGTTATTGTGTAGTATACGATGAGTGAATATATACCTAAATAGTCTTTATATTGGTCTCAGAGGCCATAACACTTACTTGAAAAAATAAAATATTAAAAAATAAAAGAAAAAAGAAGAAAAAAACAAAAACTATTACCGGGTGACCGGCAGTCGGCGATGTTGCCGTATGCGGTTCAATTTCTGTCAACTTCACACCTCCAACTCCGTAAGTATTGATCGCAAAAAAAAATTTGGGGTCCTATAATACAGTGGACCCCTGGTTCGCGATAGTAATCCGTTCCTGAGAGCTCATCGTAAATGAAAATTATCGGAAAGCGAATCAATTTTCCCCATAATAAATAATGGAACTCAAATTAATCCGTGTAAGACATACAAAAGTATGAAAAAAAAACTTTTGCCACATGAAATATTAAGTTTAATGTAATAGAATGATTACAATAACAGCAATAACAATAGAATAATAACAACAGAATAAATGACCCTTACTTTTAATGAAGATCTGGTGATGATTGATGGGATGGGAGGACGGGAGAGTGTTAAACCTATTGTTTAGAAGGGGAATCCCCCTCCATTACGACTTGAGGTGCCTTTTCCTCCTGAGTAATGTAGGTCCTGCTTGGCAATTTCTTTCTTTCACATATTTTTCAGCTGCTTTTTGGTCTGAACTGGCAGCCTCACCATGCCTAATCACACTATGTATGCCACTACGATTCTTAAATCTTTGAAACCAACCTTTGCTGGCCTTAAATTCACTCACATCACCACTAGTTGCAGGCAATTTCTTTACCAAATCGTCATGCAACTGCCTAGCCTTTTCACAAATGATCACTTGAGAGATGCTATCTCCTGCTATCTGCTTTTCATTTATCCACACCAATAACAGTCTCTCAACATTTTCTAACACTTGCGGTCGCTGTTTCGTAATCACAGTTGCACCTTTTGCAACAACAGCTTCCTTGATTGCCGTTTTCCTGCTCACTATAGTAGACATGGTTGATTGGTGTTTACTATACAACCTGACCAGCTCCGACACACGCACTCCACTTTCGTACTTTGAAATTATCTCTTTCTTCATTTCAATAGTCATTAGCACCCTTGGTCTCGAAGGGTTGGCACTAGAAGCTTTCTTGGGGCCCATGGTGACTTATTTTGCATTCCTACTCCTGCAGCCTGGCCCTGGCCCAGGCTTGTTTGGTGCTTGCCTGGTCAGCCAAGTTGTTGGTGCTGGCAGCCCGCTGGCATGCACACCCATCACAACTTACTTGATCTGACACTTGCCGGAGTTTTATGTCTCATTTCTGACAAAATTAGCTGAAATTTGTTCAAGGTTATGTGCTTCTTTATTCTTTGTATATTTATAAGAACCTATGTTTGTCTACATTTGTCTGTGCGTGTGTTTTTGTCTAAGATAATCTTTGTGTAAACAATACTTACACGGTCTTGTATGATCTAGCGAGATTACCTTTTTGTAGGAATAGCAGCGGAGTTATGGTCAAAATAACCTACCTTCAATAACAAGCTTTTCATATAATTCTTTCTATATATGCAATGCAATCACAGACAGGCAATCTTATCAATGCAGAACAAGCCGCATGGGGATGGAAATATTTAGATCCTTTGCACTTGTGCATCATCAGGAGCTATGCAATGTTGCAAGACAGTAACAGATAAGAGTGGAAATTCTCCGAGGCAATGGCCACCAATGATACCTTCTGCTTTGCCTAAGAGAATTTCCCCTCCTATATGTTGCTGTCTTTGCAACACTGCATAGCTCCTGATGACGCACAAGTGCAAAACATCAAGAGATAAAAATTTCCATCTCCATATTCTACATTGTAGATGAATGGTTCAAAGAACCGACACGTTGTTAAATTAGACACATGTGTAACTCTTGGGTATCTTTTCTGAGGAGACGTTTCGCCACACAGTGGCTTCATCAGTCCATACAAAGGATAAACTTGAAGAACAGGAGGAGAATGAGGTAATCAGTCCCTCAACCTTGAGTCGATGTGGTCAGTCCATCAATCTTGATAGGAATTCTTCGCTTGCCTAACCCTTGGTCACGACCTACTTCCACATTGAACAAATGTGACACCACCTACCACTGCTGCACCTCTCCTGCCATATGGTTTATAAGCTGCTTCTCCGCTCATATGCCGTATTCTATTCAAGATTGATGGACTGACCACATCGACTCAAGGTTGAGGGACTGATTACCTCATTCTCCTCCTGTTCAAGTTTATCCTTTGTATGGACTGATGAAACCACTGTGTGGCGAAACGTTTCCTCAATAAAGATACCCAAGAGTTGCACATGTGTCTAATCTAACATATTCTACATATTCTACTTATATAATCATGTGTACAACATTAACCTCAAACTGTCCAAACGTAGATCTATGTTCATGTGCGTAGCGCTCCGAACGCAGATCTACATTCAGAGTGCTACACACGTGAACCTAGATCTATGTTCATGTGCGTAGCGCTCCGAACGCAGATCTACATTCAGAGTGCTACACACGTGAACGTAGATCTATGTTCATGTGCGTAGCGCTCCGAACGCAGATCTACATTCAGAGTGCTACACACGTGAACGTAGATCTATGTTCATGTGCGTAGCGCTCCGAACGTAGATCTACATTCAGAGTGCTACACACGTGAACCTTGATCTATGTTCATGTGCGTAGCGCTCCGAACGCAGATCTACATTCAGGGTGCTACACACATGAACGTAGATCTATGTTTGGACAGTTTAAGGGTTAATCAAGAGTGTTATCACTACAAACTGGTCACCTTATTCCCTACCACTTACTTTAATTGTTTTTTTGTTTTTTTTTGACATTAGCTCTGAAAAAACACCAACATGTCACCCATTTCAATTTCATGTGGAAATAAATCTTTGACCTGAATCTTTAACATCAAAAATATATTACAAATTTAATTTATTACATTTTAAACGTTTATATGGCAGGCTGAAAAATAAATCTAATTACTGCATATCATTTTTTTAATGCATATCATTTTTTACATGCAATTTAAAGTACATGCACCAAAATAGTGCATGACATAGGATAATAGACTACAGGAGCTCCTTGATTTACAGTGGTTCCACTTACGATATTTTGACTTTACAATGATTCAACAGCTATGCACATTCTGTATTGCATAGTACTGTACATTAATAGGATAAACTTGTATTCATTAATTTACCTTTCAATACTGGTATTTAGTTAGTTATATACTTATACAGTGATCGTAGTTATTTATTTATCATATCGTGTTCAACTTGGGATAGTGACAGTAGTTATTTATTTATGCATATCGTATTTAACTTAGGCGATTTTCAACTAACGATGGGTTCATTGGACCGTAACCCCATTGTAAACCGAGGAGCACCTGTACATGCACCAAAACAGTGCATGCAAGACAAGGATAATAAACTAGAAGAATAACAAAAGATCTAGCAGGAGAGGAGCCACAGAGAGAGAGAGCAGGAACGAGATGATCGAGTGTAGTTGTGGTTCCTAAAACAACTCACGGATGTATAGGAGGTCGGGGATGCAAGGTGTCGGGATGCCCGGTGGCTCTGAAGGGGGGTCGAGTACTCGGAATCCCCCCCGCTTGTGGACATTACAACCTATGGGGGCATCACACAGGTTAGCGCACTTACGCCACCGTTAAACCAGCCATTTAGGATTCATCAATACACTTAACTTTATGAAATCACGTTTTTCAAGGTTAGGGTATTACAGTCCGCTTTCTTGTAAAGCTCTTCTATGAAGCGCAATGATTCATAAATCCCACTGAAAAAGTGAAGTTTATCGAAAACTGACTAGCACGTACCACGAAAGCCTTTCTATCCGTTATTCAACTGTGGTCTATTTTTCTCCCAACTGCATTACAAAAAAAAAAAAAAATGCACTAAACTGTATAGAGGAACCTCATAAGAGTTGACAGTAAACTCTCACACAGCTGTTCTACATAGCTCAACTTTTTTTTTCTTTTCTTTTTGCAAATGCAATTGTGTGATCCAAAATGGAATGAGACTTACAGTGGTACCACTACAGTGGTACCTCGAGTTTCGTACAGCTCCCAACTCGAACAATTATGCAAGTGTACAGTGGACCCCCGGATAACGATCAGCTCCCAACTCGACCAATTATGTAAGTGTATTTTTGTAAGTGCTTTTGTAGGTGTATTTTTAGGGGTCTGAAAAGGACTAATCTAATTCACAATATTTCTTATGGGAACAAATTCGGTCTATAACGGCACCCAAACAGACTTCTGGATTTAAATAATATCGTTATGCGGGGGTCCACTGTATTTTTTAAGTGCTTTTGTAAGTGTATTTTTGGGGGTCTGAAACAGACTAATTTACGTTATTCCTTATGGGAACAAATTCGTTCGGTAACGGCACTCGAACAGTCTTCTGGAACGAATTAGGTTCGTAACTCGAGGTACATACCACTGTACTATGAAAACCTTTTCAAGCAGTATTCAATTCCACATTCACTTTTTGAAACCCATTTACAAAAACTAGCACTGTGTAGAGAAGCTCTATAAGAAAGCTGACTACAGGATTTTAATCAATATGGTGAGGATATCAATATTTCAATAGTTATTAAGGGTATTAGTATCTTAATAGTTATACACGGCATATTCTTGGGAAGCACTAGACTTGTAGGGGTCGTATAGCCCCTAGGGAACGGCAAGCATTCAGGTTTAATCCATGGAAGATGAGGGAGAGCTCTAATTCTATTAATTAAGAGCTCTTGACAGTCGTCAAGGGCAGCCTTTAGAAGTGTTAGTGTGATATATAATTTTAGTTAAGCCTATGTTGCACTTCTGCAATTGTGATTTTTACGATTTCGTGAGTATGTACATTAAAGCTAATGCGGTGAATAACTATGCTACATTAAGCCTTAAACTGTCCAAACGTAGCTCTACACTCAAGTGCGTAGTGCTCCAAATGTAGATCTACATTCGATTATAGATGCTTTATATAAAAAAGAACAGAGCTATGTTCGGAGCACTACACACGTGAATGTAGATTTACGTTTGGACAGTTTAAGGGTTAACGTAGCATAGTCAGCACTCTTACAGAGCTCCCCTATATAGTTCCTTGAAAAGCACAGACTATCAAGGCTTTTCATTGTACTATTCAACTTTGATGTACTTTTTCAACAGGATATACAATAAAAAAAAAACATAAGAGAGCTGTACAGGAGAGCCGAGTGTAAAACATTTCGTACGTGTGCAGTGATAAACAAAATAAAAATTTAATATAGATTATTTCAAGTTTGTTGGTATGAGGAGATTCTTGCTGTGTATTAAAGCGATGCTTATAAAAATGCGGTCAATGATTACCTCCATTATACATTATATACCGATATGGTTGCGTATGTTATGTATGTTAGGCAAATACATGTAGAACAAGAACACTAAACCCATGACAAACATCTTGGTTTCATAAACCAACATCTATCTTTTCAAGTAAGAGAGACAACATAACCGACATGTGCTGAGCCTTGTAAACAAAGATCAGCCGAGCCTTGCAAACAAAGATCAGCCGAGCCTTGTAAACAAAGATCAGCCGAGCCTTGTAAACAAAGATCAGCCGAGCCTTGTAAACAAAGATCAGCCGAGCCTTGTAAACAAAGATCAGCCGAGCCTTGTAAACAAAGATCAGCCGAGCCTTGTAAACAAAGATCAGCCGAGCCTTGTAAACAAAGATCAGCCGAGCCTTGTAAACAAAGATCAGCCGAGCCTTGTAAACAAAGATCAGCCGAGCCTTGTAAACAAAGATCAGCCGAGCCTTGTAAACAAAGATCAGCCGAGCCTTGTAAACAAAGATCAGCCGAGCCTTGTAAACAAAGATCAGCCGAGCCTTGTAAACAAAGATCAGCCGAGCCTTGTAAACAAAGATCAGCCGAGCCTTGTAAACAAAGATCAGCCGAGCCTTGTAAACAAAGATCAGCCGAGCCTTGTAAACAAAGATCAGCCGAGCCTTGTAAACAAAGATCAGCCGAGCCTTGTAAACAAAGATCATCCAAGCCTTGTAAACAAAGATCAGCTGAGCCTTGTAAACAAAGATCAGCTGAGCCTTGTAAACAAAGATCAGCTGAACCATGTAAAAAAAAAAAAAAAAGACCAGCCGAGCCTTGTAAACAAAGACCAGCCGAGCCATGTAAACAAAGGTCAGCCGAGCCTTGTAAACAAAGACCAGCCGAGCCTTGTAAACAAAGACCAGTCGAGCCTTGTAAACAAAGACCAGCCGAGCCATGTAAACAAAGGTCAGCTGATCCTTGTAACTCCACCATCAGTGCTTAAACAATCAGAACAATAATCAAAATAGCTAGTTTGTATCATATATAAAATAGAAAATATTTGAATTTGATACAGACCAGAGGTTCTATTTTAGAACTGGAGTTAGACAGCTTAAAGCGTTTCACTGATACGTGGAGATGGTTGGATATTAAACGAAGATGAAGAATTAGACATGTGCAACATCTGGGCATCTTTATTTGTAGACGTTTTACCATCCATTGGCTTTATCAGTACAAGGACATAATGAAATGACTGTAGAACTACACCTACCATCCGATTTACGACCGAGTTCGGTTCCGAGAAACCAGTCGTAAGTCGAAATGGTCGTAAGTCGAACTTTACTACTGAATATCAACAAAACATTTTTGTAATGACTTTATTTTATTGTTTTATTTTGGTATTTCATGTTTTACTTTACTTTTTATGTTGTTAGTATTGTATTTTATACTGTAAGGTTTAGGATAAACATTGTACAACACAAATACTTGTTTATTTCCCAGAAATTTGGCATAAAAAACACGGTCGTAAGTCGAGTGGTCGTAAGTCGAGCAGGTCGTAAGTCGGATGGTAGGTGTATATACAAAAGATGAGGTAATCCGTCCCTCAGCCTTGAGGTTGTAGAAGAACACTAGTCTTGAAGAATCTGAAGCACAGTCAGGAAGATTGATGCTTATATACTGGCATCAGGTGAGGGACTTGTAGCAGAGGCATTGTCAATGGAAGGCGGGATTCCCCAGTGGAAGTACGTCATACCCAAGGGATGGGTCAGTAGTAGTTAAGAAGGTTGTTGAGATGTCCCTTGAACCAAGGCTGAGGGACTGATTACCTTGTCTTTCATATATAGTTCTACAGTCTGCACATTGTATCCTTGAATTTGCACTGATAAAGTCACTGGATGGCGAAACGTCTACAAATAAAGATACTCAGATGTTGCACACGTGTGTAATTCTTCAACTAGTTGGTATTATATATACACCATTCTTGATAAACAAAAATGTCTACCACAGCCTGGGTGTCTTTGTTCTCCACTTGCTTTAGAATGCAATGAGGACAATCTATTTCTAAGGTTAGATACACTATGCTATATATGGTAATTACTTCATACGATATTAGTGTCAGAATACAGTACAGGTGCTCCCTGACTTATGATATTTCAACTTTGCGATGGTGCAAAATCAATTACATACTTTGGAGATAAAACTTAATTACTCAGCATGAAGGCACTAAGTCCCTAACTTGTATTCATTTACTCACTTTTCAATATTGTATTTACAGCAATTATTTATTCACTTATTCATATTTATTTATTTAGCATATCATATTCATACTCAACTTATGATGGGTTCACTGGAACGTACCCTATTTCATGGCTTATTAGACATGTGTTTTTTCCATAAAATGTCTCCAAAAATTAGCCTGCGTCCTACAAACTGAAGGTCAGTGACGGGAGCTATAAGTTTGAGGTGTGGGGTGCGCTGTAGCTCTCCCTGTTATGTCCGAAGCTGAGGCATTGAAACTAAAACAAGTCTTATAAGCCGCAAAATATGGTAATTCCATTGTAAGTCTAGGAGCACCTGAACTAGTAATGTTAGGTGAAATGTGGAGAATTATCAGAAAGACACCAAACCACCAGAAGGTTAATCAACCACATTATTATTATTACAGTACCAAGAGGAATGAAAGGGAGGGTTAATGTGAAGGGCGGCATAGTTCCCATTCCTACATCAGTCATCCATCATGGAACCCACCACCACCATATATTTTTACCACAAACTGAAATACTTCTCTGGTGAAGATTGAGACATTTATGCAACACATGGGAATCTTTATGAAGGAAACGTTTCGCCACACAGTAGTGAAACGTTTCCATAATATTCACATATGTTCCATAAGTGTCTCAATCTTCAACCTGTCATTTTCGAACCATTGATCACATACTTCTCAGGTGCTTATAAATACTAATCTAGGGTGTAGACATTCTTCCCAGGCCCCAGAACATGATATTAGTAACAAGAGTACACACTCACTGCTAGATGCAAGCTAGGCAAAGCTTGTTCATCACAAGACAAGCAGCAACTTGAAGCTATTTGAAGTCGAGTGCAACATTCAAGTGTAAACGAGGCCAGAGAAAGAGAGCGCAAGCAAGCACAGCTGATAAGCTCACTGCTGCAGCTACAGTCGTTGATTATTGCTCGTGGAATAAAAAGCTCTTCTGAAAAGCTAGTCCTAAGTTTTTCTGTGAAAGCAACTGAAAAAATCCACCCAAAATTGAATAGTGTGTACTATGAAGATGTTGCTACGAACAATATT